AGGCACGGCACACCAAATTTTCAACAGATCGATTCCTGAACACCGAAAACGATGGGTTGATAGCGGGAAGCCCTGCAGAAGCCAGCCAACATGGAGGAATCGCTCAGCGATCTGTACACCACATGTCGTTGATGGTTTTTGGGGCAATCACATCGGACGGCAAGACCCCCTGATTTTTTTTGGAGAAAGGGATGAAGGTGGATAGCAAGACCTACTCAAAAGGCGTTTTGGAGAAGGAAGAACTCTCCTGAGCAAAATCCCATTTCGGTAACCGGACATGCCCTTATCAACAGAACTCAGCTCCAGCACACAGGTCCAAGGTGGTACAAGACTGGTGCGCAACGCAATTCCCAGACTTCACGATTGGCCCCCAAACAGTCCAGACCTAAATCCATTGGACTATTCCGTGTGGTCAGTTTTTAAGATGAAAGCCTGCTCTACTAAGCATAGAAGTTTGGATGCTCTATGGCAACTCTTGTTGAAGCATGGGAGGATTTGGACGTAGACTACCTCCGTGCCGCCGTCGACGCATTTCCAAGGAGACTTTCAGCCTCGCAAAAGGAGGCTATTTCGATATGTTGGAGTTGTATCGCGTATCGATCGACTTGAGCATTTTTACAATCATATTTGCCGTTGCCAGAACTTTTGCCGCACCCTGTAGATGCCGGGAAAAAATGTGCAAAGGTGAGGAATGGGTCAACAATTAAAATAAAGGAAACTTGTCGATGGTGGGCGGTGCGTTCTCGCAGTGGGCGTACTTCCCAGAGAGATTCAAAACTCGATTCAACGAAGACGTCGAGGCCAGGAAAAAATTCGATCGGAAAGGGTTTAGAATGCGGGAAAAAAGTGGTCAGAGGTAAAGGTACAAATGTGGCCAAATTTTCGGAGTGGGCGGGGCTGGCACCAAAGTGAGCCGGGCTTAGATCAAAATTTTATCTCCGTTCAGAAACGTACTAGAAAGCGGGAAACGAGTGATAAGAGGTAACGGAACAAATGGGGTCAAATGCCCGAAATGGGCGGAGTTGGCACTAAAGTAGGCGGGGCTGGGATCAAATTTTCATTACTCTGTTCAGAAACGATCCAGAATGCGAGAAAAATGGTTAGGGTTATGGGACAAATGTGGTCAAATTCTCCAAGTGGCGGGGCTGGCAATAAGGTGGGCGGGGATTAGAGCAAAAGTTTATAACTCTGACCAGAAACGTTATATTGGGTTGTAACATAAGTTCGTAGAGTTTTGCGTGAGCGTTATTTTACAACGATTTGTTTTTATGCAGTGTGTACATTCATTCGAAAGAGCTCTTCCTCCTTCACAAAACTGTTTTATTTGTTTTTTGTATAATTAATTGCTCGTTTTTTTGCTCAGAAGTGGAATATCCAGGAGGAAAAAATCAGCATTTTCGACATCTGCTTTTCTTTGCTTTTCATCGAGGTTAAAAAGCAGCCGAAGCGTGTACGCGAAAGGTGTCCTAGGTGTGTCTACTGCAGAAAAATGGTTCACAAATTCAAAAAGTTCAGATGCTCTTCGTCGAATTCTGTGGGTCGTCCGCTTCGAGGCGTGTCTTCGAGGTCAAATTCACCATTTTTAAACTCTGCAACCATTTTTGTGAGTAGACACACCTAAGACACCTCCCCCGTACACACTGCATACATATGTCCCGAGCGGCTTCGGCTGCGTTTTGACCTCGATGAAAAGCAAAGAAAAGCAGATGTCGAAAATGCTAATTTTTCCCTCCTGGATATTCCATTCCTGAGCCAGAGAAAAGACGATTAACAAGTAACTACTGGATTATCCAAAAAACAAAACAGTTTTGTAGAGGAGAAAGAGCTCTTTCGAATGAATGTATACTTTTTGTTAAAAAAAAAAAAACAAAATAAATCGTGGTAAAATAACGCTAACGCAAAACTCTACGAAGTTATGTTACAACCCAATAGAAGGCGGGAAAAATGGTTAGTGGGATCGGAACAGGTGTGGTTAAACCCTCGAAGTGGGCGGAGCTGGCACAGGAAAGCGGGCTAGGACCGAAAATTCATCATTTCAAAAACTTTCTAGAATGCGGAGAAAATGGTGAGGAGCAGTTAAAAGGAGGATGGTCAATATTAGTGGAAAGGGCCTGCACTGAGGTGGACGGAGCTATAATCAACCACTAATAATTCTGCTCAAATGAAACATATCGAGCGTGATGCACTCAGCAGTTCAGCGTTCGAATCTAGAGACAACTATCTTATTCTGATAATCCAACATTCCGATGAATGACTCCATTGTAGACAAGCAGTCGTCGACATATAATGCGCGTTAGCGTGATAGCCCAACTGGTGATAAAAAATGGAAGACAAAATCGAAAATAGGCTATGAACGTGAAGAAACTGCCTGAATAGGTGTTTCCAAAGTGAGGAAGGCTTCGAAAAACCATTTAAAAGGGGGCTGGACGAGAATGAGATCAGAGAAATGAAGAATAGTGGGTCGTTTGGACGAGCTATACAATGGGTCTCACTGCGTACGTGTGGGTCCTGATGCAAATAACAGACTGCAGTAAGCAAAAAATTCATTCACTTATAAGCATAAGTAAACGAAAAAACCCTAGTAACATCAGAAGTAGCTCACCTTTTTCAGCCTCTAGGACTAGGAAATTAACTAAGGGATCGCGACAGCAAAAAGAATAACAGGGAAAAAATGGGAGGAAAACATCGCCTCATCACTCGACGATCAGCTGATTGTGTGTGGGTCCTAGAACGAATAGTTGCAATCTGTATTGTCTCGACATTCGTCTGACGTGACATCGATCGGGGGGGAGGGGGAGGGGCGGCCGCCCCTCGAGTTATCTTGAACTAAGCCCTTAGTTATCATTGAGTCTTGTCTTGGGTATGGGTGCATTGGTACGCATTGGTGCGTCCGGACAAGTACGCGACAAACTGCGCGGCGAACGCGACGATTCGAACGACTTCAGCGCCTATCGTTGGGTCACAGGTTTGAAGCAGACTAGATTAATAAGATCAGCTGATCCTACTAATCTACTCTACTTCGAATTTTTGCAATAATAATAGGCAGAGCCGTTCAAATCGCCACGATTTCCACCGCGCACTTTGCCGCTTGCATCGCTTGCATTGAATTGTTACCACCGCTAGATTCGAAACCCTGAATCCACCGCGACTTGCTCTGGATCTGGCCTCTATGAGGTAATCATCGTTAACTTCCAGTATCATGCACTGGAAATGACTTTCGGGCAATGAGATTCCTTCATGCATACTAATGATATCTTATGCTTCCAACTTATCCGCTGATCACCATGAGAGATCGATCCGCTCGCTTCGCACCTGATAGTTTTAACAACACGAGACATTATAATTTGTCGAATACAGACTAACTCAAAGATCACGATTTCTATCACATCCCCTAATCCCCGTAGATGGCACTCGGTCGTTATGAAAAAATGCTGTCTTGTTTCTCATGCAAATGGAGGTGCGGCTTCTTTTGATATCCACTATAAAAGACTATGGAGTTTTCTACCAGCGTCATAAAATCGAATCTCATATGCCAAATCATAGTAGGGGGCTGCTTTTACCTTTAGAACCTCTATATGCCAACAAACGTGCAAGGATTCTAGCGCGATGTGATGGGTTCATTGTTGCTGTTGTCATCAGGCGAATCAATGTTATCGCCTTCCTCGCAGTGGATACGAGCTCATTAACATAGCGTCAAGAGTGTTGTTGAGAAGCTTTTAATTACCGCCCGTTACTTCTCGAACGGTTCTAAGGTTGTGCTGTAAGAACGAAATTCCCCAGTAAATACATCACACCACCATCGGCAAGATTATTTTGCTTGTAACGTGTTGAGGACGTTCCGATCTGGATCATTTAGCACCTTTCTCCTCAAAGCCTCCGAAGACTACTTTAGCAAATGTTTAGAATCCCTGTTTTACTCAAATGGAGCACCACCCTCATTCGGCCGGTGGAGTGCGAGGATACTTTCCTACTAAGTCCTTCTCAGTTGCTTGCAAAATGTTGCAATGTGGGAGCTCTTAACATAGCTAGTACTGAGCCCAAAGAGGCTTTGCAAGCGTTCAGGAAGCATTTTATGGAAAACAAAAGGAGCGGAGGCATCAAGAACCCGCCATCCTACCAGCCGTGCCACCGTTGCACAGCTGCAGCTTTGCTCAACTTGGTCAACTATTCGGTACAGTGGTATAGACAGGGAGCAAACATTCCGTCACTTTGCCAGAATCGTTTAGCAGATTTGGAATCGAGATGCACAAATCTCTTTGTGTTCAATGTGTACGGAGCGATATGCTATCCGTCATTGAATTGAAAATCTCACGACCAACCTGAAGTACAACAGCCCATCTTATGGCACGCTTTAGCGTGTATTGTATTTTGTTTCAATGAAGCACTGCAGTGATAGCGCCCTCCGAGTGAGACCAATCTGACATTTTAGAGAACTTGGATAAATACTCATTTAACATTTAGGCATCGAAAATTTTCAGATCACAACTCATAAAACGGTAGAAGTTATTTTTTGCTCCAAACATGTTCAATTGATGAAAACCATATACGACTAAGAAATAATGAACAAAAACAACTCAAAAAAAATTCAATGACTCAAAGCAACCCAAAGACCCTTCTCAATTATTAATTTCAATTTCGAGCTTATTTCGTGCACTTCTCATGTTTTCTGAGATGAGTGTGAGGTTTTTTTTTTTCGGCTAAATAATATTTACATTTTTATAAAGCCGGAATATTATGTAGTTGAATTCCTTAGTAATTCAGCTAATCATTTATAAGCTTATTCATTGAGTATTTTTTGGCTAAGTTGTGCATGACCGTGTTAGAAAAAGATATAGGGCACAAATTTCCACAAAAAGCTCTGAACAAACCGGTTGGAAATGGAAGTGTGGTACAAAAACTACTTTTGTGCAAGTTTAGCTAATGAACCTCCGAATAACAACCGACAGCCAACGATGCAATCAGATTTGCCAACACATTTCCACATCCAACTTTTCTTATTCTTACTTGTGTACATGTTTCGGAGGTGACCAGCGCATGATGGCGTAATTGAGAAGGGCGTTCGCGAGAAGATGTTTAGACGCACTGTAAAATCGTATTTAGTTAGAATTTCCCTCTGGAACCGCTATGTCTCACATTTTTCTCATAGAGCGAACAATGGCGCTCCAAAGTGACATTTGTAAAATCATCGCCGATCCTCTTTGCCCTCTGTCTAAACCTGCTAGAAGGTTCGATATCAACACAGCTCATATATATGAAATGTTTTTTTCACTGAAAATGGCCACAACTTTCTTGTTGGACCTTCTCGGGTCCCCGATATATTCGACAGCTTTTTCTTGGCAGAATATTCACCAAGATGCTGATTACACACACAAAGAATAGGGTAGAAGCCCATTTGATAAAAGATCATTACATGAAATTTTATTTATATGTATGAAGAAAAATACCGTCCGAAACAGAAGAAGCAGAACACGATCCCGATCAGTAAGGGGAATATGGTACGTGTTTGACGCGTGACGACTCCTGGTGCACAGTAACGCTTGAATACGCAAGCCAGTGGCAGCGACAAGAACATGCAGATCACGAAGTTGATCTGTAACATGCAAAAGCTGGGTGGAGGTATACAATTGATTGGAACTGATAAGTGATAACTGGTCATTCACCACTTACTCTATCTACTTGAACCTCAAAGTAGGTAGCGATTGGTTCCAGCATTGTAGCACCATCATAGAACGTATGCGGGCCTGGCATTTGGTCGCCTTAATTTGAAATAGTATTTCGCGAAAAAATGTAGGTATGAGACTAATCTATCGAGAAGCACCGACAATCAATTTCAAATCAGAAACTTTAATACAAAACTGGATGAGTGAAATCCAAGTGAAAAGTCGGAAAGTGAGAGTGAGAAGAAGTTTGCGAAAAGTATTCCTCATTTCAAAAGTCGAAGCATGAGCTAAAAAACGGCACCGCATTGCCCGTTGGTCGACATCTTAAATTCCCATGAATATTTGCTACTGAACGCTTTACCCGTTAGAAGGTTCTGGGGCATGACTGAATTTCCCGCGCGAGCACATTTTAAAGCAACTTGGAGCGCTCTAGCTTGGCAGTGGCCTTGTACATTGCTTTGGCAGTCTTCTGCTATTCTTCGCCTGATGGTTCCACTGATTATTCCTCTGTCCTCCTACACTATAGTAAATTCGACATCCTATTCTGTTTTTGCTGCTTGCTTCCTGCTTTCCTACTTCATGAGCCAACAGATCTGTAGCGCTTCAAGGACACTACTGCAATAAGCCAATTCTTGTGTACGTTCTTCTCTTCAGAATTACACCCGTTGCCGTGAGCATAAAGCGTCATGACCCTGGCTGTTTTCAAGGGGAATACACAATTAATGGCTTAGCCAAAATTATACATAAGTACCCAAGTTCGACTCTCAATAAATCTTGGCATAGCTTTGAACAATTCTCGTGAGACTTTTAATAAAACCTGTGACCAAGATTATAAGCAAACGCATATTCGAATTGTCGAATCATGCGGCAGTTCGAGGCAAAAGTGTCGAGTCATAGATCAGATCGAGACAGCCGCCAGCATTTCGTCAGCCTTGCCGCAACACCTACAAGGAAGCTGTCATGCCATCCGTCAAGATTGCATCATTGTGATGCACAAGCCACGGATAGAAGCCACGCCTCATGGCATGGAGGTCGTCATCATGAATGCGACCGTTGATAAAAAACTGCAGATCAGCAACGGTTTTTCTGACAGCATGCTGAACAACTGTGAATTATTCGAATACACCAGTGATTGGACTGCATTTCTCAGATGTGCTAGCACTGGAAAGTGCAGAGCTGCTTGGATACATGAAATTCAAGGGCTGACAGAAATACTATTAATCAGCAACAGTTTTTATGACAGTAAGCTGAATAATTGGAGTTATTCGAGTATACTATCAATTGGGTGGCTTTCCCTCAATGTGCTAGCGCTGGAAAGAGGAGAGCTGCTGAGATACATGAAATTCAGGTTCTGACAAAATTTCAGCAACAGCTATTCTGATAGTAAGCTGAACAACTGGGAAGTATTTGAATATACCACCCATCGTATTGCTATCCCTAAATTGCTAGCGCTGGAAAGTGCAGAGCTGCTTGGATACATGAAATTGCAGTATTGACAGAAATACTATTAATCAGCGAAAGTTTTCTTACAGCAATCTGAAAACTGGGAATTATTCGAAAACACTACCCATCTGATTACTTTTCCCGGATGTACTAGCGCTGGAAAGTGCACAACTGCTTGGTTACATGAGTAAGCATCGTGCGCAACGGAAGCGAATAAACCGTACTTTCTCCAACAACACGATTAAGAATATCATGTTTATCTTAAAAAAACATAAACTAATACAAGGATATAAGAGTGACAGGGAAACAACAGTATTGCTACGCATAACATAAGGCAGTGAATAATGATGAGATGAAATTGAGAAAGTGATGGCGAGGAGAACCATCCAAACAAGGCATTGTTCCGAGGCGGACAGCTGTGGGACCGAGCGTCCTCGGTTCGGACGTGAGGTCGATTCTTCGAAGAAACTCTCGGAGCCGTTGTCCCGCCCTGAAAGTATTCGATGAATCATCGTTTAGGAAAATTGCGTTGCGACCGTAAGGCGCTAACAAGGGAAGGATCCCAAGTCGAAGTGGCCATTTGAAATGGGACCTATACTGCTAGGCGTATTTTTTGATGCTGATTTCAAAACTGCATTCAAAATCTGCCAAAATCAAAATTTCTCTGAACAAAGTTATGGAGGGTGGTCTCCGGAGAGCGGTCAACAGGGGAAAGCACAAAAGCCACGGTCGCCGGCAGCCCAGCAGTGGCGGCTTGGAGTGGAGGTAAGCGTG